ATTGAGAGCCATTGTAACATTTTACTTCATTTCAACAGTACAACGGTGCTTAAATATAGGGAAAGAAAACGCTAACAACTGTACGTAAATAACTGATTCAATTAAATTTTCAATTCATTAACAAACGGTAAAGCCTTGACTCACCACTGTGAAATTATATTCCCGAGTGCGATGGCATTCTTGTCCACCAGAGGGTTTGGACCCGGGTGCACTTTTGTTTATTAGGGCTTGGGTCTGATGGGCCTCTTACAGTACTTCTGCCATTTACTCAACCAAAGAGATGTTGGTTCTTATGTTTGCGAATCAAATGATTTTGTTGTTCTCTGTTCCCTTTGCCCGCACAGAATGGGAAAATAACTTTTGTATATTGTTAGACCCGGCTCTAGGCCGTAACATAACAGAAGGGAAGAGACACCGGCTATGTTCAGGAACCCCCGCGTACGGGCATTCTATTGCATTCTAAATTCTCTGAATCAGTATCCTATTTTATTGCCAGTAAGTAACAGGATGTCACAGACTGGAATTGCTTGGCTCAGTGCAAACATTCATAGAGAAAATAATAAAAAACTAAAACTTAAAGAATAAAAAACACTTCTAAGGAATACATTTACATTAGAATAGAGTTAACGTTACTATTTACAATATACAAGTGCACTAGGTGCACCAATGTAGGTGACAGCAGTACAGTGAAGTAAGTGGTATGATGCGGCAGTAAAGTGACTTTTATAAAGGGCGGGGGACAGGTTAAGAGTGTTCAAGAGTCCAACAAGCATGAGGGGAGAACTGTTCTTGTGGACGGGGAGGTTATAGTCATGATGGACCGCCAGTCTTGCCAAAGGGGAGTGGTTGGAATAGTCCAGTGCAGGGTGAGGAGGGTCGGGGGCCTGTGATACGACGCCGGACTTCGAGTCGGCGGCCACGTATCAGGTTCCTGCAGCGATGGAATGCTTCGGCCAATCACTTCCTCTGCAGAGCCGACAATGCGCTGTAGTCTTGTTTGTCCCTGACTGTGGATCCAGAGAAACCACACCCGGGACGGAGGAGGTGAGGTTGGACTCGATGATGGCCGTGTAGAACTGCTCCAAACATCTGGCAGGCAGCTGGCTTTCTGAGGCTGCTGCAGGAAGTACATCCTCTGCTGGGCCTTTCTTGCTGAGGGAGTGATGGTCATGCTCCCACTTGAGGTCCTGGTGAATGGTGGGGCCCAGGAAACGGAAGGGAGAGTCCATCAGGAAGGGGGGGCTGGGGACAGTGCTCAGCCTGAGTCACACAATCATCTCCACTGTCTTCCTGGGCGTTCAGCTCCAGGTTGTTACCACTGCACCAGGACACCAGCCGGTCCACCTCCCTCCTGTAGCGGAACTCATCGTTATTGGAGATGAGGCAATGAGGGAGGTGTCATCCACTGGAACTTGAAGCAGTCACAGAGTCGCTGGCTGGAGGTGCAGTGGGTGTGTACTGGGAAAAGAGCAGGGGAGGAAAGCACACAGCCCTGTGGGGCTCTCTGTATTTATAGATCGAGAGTCGAGACATTCAATCCTTGACGCACTCGCTGATTCCTGTCTGTCAGGAAGTCAGTGATCCCCCTCGAGTGAACCGGGCACGTTGAGCTGGGAGAGCTTGGCCTGGAGCAGGGATGGCAGGTATCGTGTTGAGAGGCAGAGACCCGATTTAAGTCCACGAACAGGACCTGGCGTCGGTCCCCGGGGAGGGCCAAGGCTGTAGGATGTGGTGGGGCCAGGGTGATGAGATGTTCCAGATCTGTTGCTCTGTAGGCGAATGAAGGGGTCCAGGAGGGGTGGAGGTGAGGGACTTGAGATGGGAGATGACCCCAGGCGTTCCAAATGACTTATGACGACAGAAGTATGTGCTAACAGTCTGTAGTCAGTTGAGTCTGTGATCCTGGGGCTTTTCTGGGCACGGGGGCAATGATTGAGGTGTGAGTGAAAGCAGGCCGGGGGACATGGCAGGAATGCAGAGAGGGAGTTGAAAATGTCAGTGAACACAGGAGTTAGCTCACTCGCGCAGTGTCTCAGAGGTGTGTAGCTGGAGACCCTTGGTCCGGGCAGGAGCTTTGCGGGGGGTGCAGCCTCAGAGGGAGTTTGTTTACTATCTCTGTGCCCCCGGGGACTTGGCTGCTTTCAGTTCGTCCCTGAACGGATATTTAGCTGCTTTGTAGCGCTGCGGGCCCCCTCCTGAAAGCCGAAAGGACATGGCATCCATCCACCTTCCAGGGACCTTAAAGACGTCTATTTCCGCCAGGGTCATAGGCTCTCCACCGTGCTGTCCCGGTGTGGGCCTTAGCACGGGTGGGTGGTGAGGATCCCCCCCCATTCCTCTGCAGTGTTATTCCTGCATGCTGGACAAGCCACCTGATAAGTGATAGGCAAGGAGGGAAGAAGGGAAGAACGCCCTACGCAATGGATGCGCATACGATTTATCTGGAACTAGAAATGGACATGAAAATGTTCCAAAAAGTTGACATGACACAACTGTGTCCTCTTCCTGCGCATCGGCATCAAGCTCAATAGTTTTGTTCAGATGTTTTTTAAGAACACGTACCCGTAATATTGTGCTGGTAATGTTGATGTTATAATTGGACATAAGCCATCACTTGATCACCAGGCTTGAAAGGAGTGGAGCTCAGGACAACTGCCCAATGGCGACTCAATTTGGCTTTGGTTACACCCAGTTTCCCCTGCATAAAGGCACGTTGCCTAAACCCGTTACCGTGATCCAAACGATTTTTTCAGGGGGGCGGTTCAGACTCTTTAAACTCAGCAGCACTAGCTTGCTTGACAACACCTGGTACTTCAAGTGACCTCCCACGCAGCAACATCAACCAAGGCAGACCTCCTTCCCAGCCCTTACCTATCTCTATACAGTAAGTATAGAGATCGTAACTCGCTTGGGAGGGCTTTTCAATAAGTTATTTCACGACTAAGAAACAAATGAGAGTTCAAGTTTGTCCCCGTCCAACTGAACACTTCGGTCTCCCAAACCGGAGATGAAATGTGACAATTCCTGCACACGATGTTGCTGTAACAGAAAGCAAAGGATACACAACAGGTAGGGCACTTGCTTTGACAACAGTCAGTAATCTGTAATTGTATGTGACTTTTATTTAGGACTCCTTGAAAAAGAGGTCCATAATCTCAATGGGACTTTCCCCCCCCCCCCCTTTCCCCCCCTCCCCCCTCCCCCCCCCCCCCCTTCCCTCCCCCCCCTGGTTAAATAAAGTAAAAAAAATAATAATATATAGTATACTATATATATATATATATTATATTATTAGGGCTGTCCAAACTTATCGCGTATTCAACGTTAATTACCGTTTTCATTAACGCGTAAAAAAATAATTAACGAAGTTAACTGCCATTGACCGTGTCTCAACTCTTGTTTTATTGGTTGTACCAAAAAGTTAGAGGTTGTGAGAAGTCAAACAGCCTTATTGCAGTGGCTCGGGTAGACTTGCGTCACAGAAAACTAGGGGAACTCTGAGCCAATGGAGCGTCCAGGACAATTCTAATGTAGTGACACGGAAAACCATAGAGAGGGCGCCTCACCGGACGGTTTAGGCTAAAAGTGAGTTTTTAACTAATTTGAGATTAAAATGTCAAATATATGGCCAGGACATGTAGGGGCACTATAGGAAAACTTATTTAGGCAGTGTATAGTAAAAAAGTTGATTTGGTGTTTAGTACTCTTTATAGTAATTTGTATGAATAAAAATGTGTCATTACATTTGAAATCTCATTTAAATTCAATTGAGAGGGATTTGAAATAGAATGTTAAAACTCGATTAATCGTGAGGTTATCACCATTACTTTGAGCGATTAATCAACTAAAAATAATCGTTTTTTTTTTGTGACTGCCCTAATTATAATTTATATATATATATATGATATATATATGATATTCTATATCATTTATTTTTTGTTTTCATGTTTGCATCACTAGAGGGAGCCCAGGTACCCAGTGATTTACGCTTACCACACTTGAGAATCCCTGAACTGACGTCAATTACAGGACAGTCAGGACTGGACCAAATACAGTACAGACCAAAAGTTTGATGCTTTGTCATTCAATGAGTTGTAGATTCACTCTCCAGCCTGTGTAAGGGCTAGTTGACCAGGCCCTCCACAGTCACCGACTGTGGAGGCCAATCCAGTGGTTTTGTGATGAGTTGGACCACAGAGTGAAAGGTGACGGCCACCAAATGCTAAGCATCTCAGGGATCTCCTTCCAAGACTGTTGGAATACCTTTTCAATCATACCTCTTGAAGCACAACAGAGAATGCAAGAGTGTGCGACGCAGTAATCAGAAGCAAAAGGTGCTACTTTGAAGAACTTAGAATATAAGGACCTCTTTTCGTTGTTTAATCCTTTATTACTTATGTACATCATAAGTCCCATGAGTTAATCATAGTGTTGATGCCTATCTAGTGTGATATCGACAATTTTCATAGTGTAAATAATGAAAATATGAAATTAAAAAAATCTTTGAATGAGAAGGGTGTCCAAACTTTTTTTTACAGGTGAAAAATGGCGTTCATTATTACTTCTCACCTTAGCGGGAAGAGGAGAAGTCATATGTTATACATTCTAGAACTACCCACCATTATCTCAGCTACTACCATAGTCTTTAAGCATTATAGCTTAAAATACTTGTAAAAAAAATACTTAAAATGCTTGTATTTTTTATATTTTTTTTTTTTTCATTTTTTAGTGGTGTGTATGTATGTCCCATCTCCTGTATGCAATCTCTTCAAAAGTTTAATATGTCCAAACACATTGATTAAAACATTGTACTCTATAATAAAGTAGTTGTGAGACACCGTCCCCTATCCGAACCAACACAACACAGACAACAAGCAGCATCCAAGCTTACATAAATCATTTTCACATTTTATTTGGAGAAGTAAATTATAAGTCTTGTTTTAAATCTCGTTTATATATTCTTTCTAAATATTTTCCCAGGTTACCAGAACGGAGGTGCCATGTTTCCAGTGTTACCAATCACATCAGCAAGAAACGCATCACTTACCTCTACCCTCACAGACAAGGCCATCCCACCAGCATGTGCTCCCAAAAGATGGGCACCCAAGGAGAAACGCCCACCACACCCAGCATCAGCAGCAGCACAGCACTACATGGACTTTATGAACGTCCGGTCCAGGGCATGTCCAGGGTGAAGCACTTGAGGGTCACAGCGCACCTGCGGGACATGTCCCAAAGTGGGAAGCAGGGACTGACAATGATGTGGTTTATGTGTATGGACTAGTACAATGCGTGGGACTGATCAACGAGTTATTGTTGGATTTTTTGTATTCTAAAGTCTAACAAGAATCCCAAATAAACGTGATCCTAATACATAATAAACTAAAACATATCCTAATTTGGAAACACAAAAATTTAATAAATCCATAGTTATTTTTTTTTCTCTCTCTCATAACTCTTTACTTCCATTGATAGTTTTCCACATGTAGTATTTTTGGCTCTTTCACACCTTTAACTTAAGCTTGTTCAGTGAAAAAAGAGAGTACTTCTAAGCCAATCAGCTCTCAGTAAGTAAAAGACAGCATTGTTTTCTTTAGATGAAGCGCATGTTGTGTTCTTATTTGTTCACAATTTGTCTACTTAAACAAGTATGATTGGACCTATTAATAAAGGTTTTGGGGCAAAGAAGAAAAGAGACAAACCAATTAAATATGTTGCTTTATGGTTTGTGTGGCAGAAAGCAGAGGAAGCGCAGCATCCAGCCAGAGGCCGCCTTCCCCCCCAAACCCCAGCCTCCCCCTGTGGCACGCGCTGCAGAGGCTTCTGTACCAGCTACATTGGTCGGACAACGTGAGATCCGCTTCGAAGTCAATGACGTCTTTGAAACTGCTCAAAGAAGGTAAGTAAGGGTTTGTACTACCCTGGATTGAAATCATTTTCATTTAAGTGGTTCTACCCCCGCTCGCGGAGCTTTACGTCACTAACCATTTCCTGTTCAAATCTTCCTTAAATGGCGTAGCTGGGGGACTAAAGGGGGCGTGAACGAGACTGGGCCGTTTGACATGGCTCTGGGCGGGGGCGGCTGAAGTAAGGTCCAACTTCTGTGCCAGTGTTGGCGCCAGATTCAAAATTCATATGTAGGATTAAGGTCGCCAGCTGATGGCGCCTCACAGAACGGTTTTAGGCAGAAGTTGACTCTCTCTCTCTTTCATCCTCTCCTTTGCTTAAGCGTTTGTGTTGGGAGTGAGGCTTCTTGTGGCTGGGTCTTGGGCAGCACAGTGTGGTGGGACTAGAAGTTGATTTTTTTTTCCCGCTTAATGTGTCTTTGCTGTTTTATGTGTTGTTTTTTACTTTTTGCCTTTGGTTTGCTTTCTGTGTGTTTGGCTTTTTTCTTCTGGTCTTTGTTGTTTTTCTGTTTATTGTTTATGTTGTTATCCTTTCTCTTCTGATCGTTGTGTTGTTGAGCGAGATAAGGGTCAGCACTTCTGCCTAAAACCGTCTGTGGAGGCGCCATCTGAGGCGGACCTGTATTTACTACATTTTGAATTTTGAATCTGGCGCCCCCCAACACTGGCCAGAAGTGGGACCAGACGTCAGCCGCCCCGCCAAGAGCACAATGTTAAACGGCCCAGTCTCGTTCACGCCCCTTTAGTCCTCCAGGCTATCGGCCCTTTAGAGGAAGATTTTGAAACAGGAAATGTGGAGTGATGTAAGCTCGAGGACGCGAGATTGTGGAAGAACCACTTTAATGAAAAATGATTTCAATCCATGGTAGTCAAACCTTAGTACTTCTTTGAGCCAGTTCCAAAGTACGTCATTGACTCTCGAAGCTCAGATATCATCGGTGTCCTGACCAATGTATGGTACAGAGCTCTGCCAGCGCGGGTGCCACAGGGGCGAGGCTGGGGTTTGCGGGGCTGGAGGAGGCCTCTGATGATGCTGCGCTTCCTCCTGGCTTTCTGCCACACAAAACTAAAGGCAAATATTTATTTGGTGTTGTCTCTATTTCTTTCTTTTGCCCCCAAAACCTTTATTAATAGGTTCCAATCATGTCTTGTATAAGTAACATTTTTCGTGAACAATCAGGAAACAAAATGACTTTCTTCATTATAGAAAACAATGCTGTCTTTTACATACGAGGAGCTGATTGCTTAGAGGAGTCTCTTTTTTTTCACTGAAAAGCTTAAGTTAAAGGTGTGATGAGGCCAAATACTTACATGTGATAAACTATCAATGGAATTAAAGAGTTTTGAGAGAGAGAAACAATACTATGGATTTATTAAATTTGTTGTGGTTTCAAAGTTTGGATCTTTTAGTTTTTTATTTTATTAGGATCACTTTTTTTTTTGGGATTCTTGTTAGACTTTGAATACAAAAAAATCCACAGTAATCTTGAGTTCATCAATCATTGGATTTCTTAGACCATCGACATAACCACATCATGTGTCAGTCTTGCTTCACTTCTGGGACATGTCGGCTGGTGCTCTCGTGGAATCAGTGCTCACGCCCTGACATGCCCTGGTCGGGACGGATCATAAAAGTCCATGTTTCTGATGCTTGTGCTGATGCTGGGTGTGGTTGGGCGGTTCTCCTTTGGGTGCCCAGCTTTGGGAGCACAGGCTGGGCGGCATGGCCTGGTTTGTGAGGGTTTTAGAGTAGTGGGACTTTCTGGCTTGGTGTGAGTGGCTCTGGGGAAACTTTGGCACCTCCGTTTGGTAACCTGAGGGAAATTATTTAGAAAGCACATATCAAGAGTTTTTAAAAAAAAGAATTATCATTTACTTCTCAATTAAATGTGACAATGATTTGTTGTTGGATTGCTGCTTGTTGTCTGTGTTGTGTTGTTCGGAATAGGGACGGTGTCTCACAACACTTTTTATAGAATTACAATGTTTAATCAATGTGTTGGTACAAATTAAACTTGAAAGAGGGATTGCAATACAGAGATGTTACCATTACATACACACACTAAAAAATGAAAAAAAAAATAGAAAAATACAAAATTTTAAGTTTGTTTTACACGTATGTTTTAAGCTCTATGCTTAAAGACTTTGTAGTAGCTGTGATAATGGTGGTATAGTTCTCGAAGTGTATAAATATTACGTCTCTTACCAGTGACGATGTGAGAAGTACTAATGAAAGCCCATTTGACAACGTGTATAAAAAAGTTTTGACACATCTTTCTCATTCAAAGCTTTGTTGTTATTTTCATATTTTTCATTATTTTTCACTATATGAAAATTGTAGTATGCCCACTGAGGCATCAACACTGATGAATTACTCATGTGGAATTATGTATGTACTTATAGTAAAAAAGTATGAAACAATGAAAATATGTGCTTATATTCTAAGTTCTTCAAAGTAGCACCTTTTGCTCTGTACTGGCTGCGCACACTCATTGGCATTCTCTTGATGAGCTTCAAGAGGTAGTGTTTGAAAAGGTATTCAACAGTCTTGAAGGCGAATCCCTGAGATGCTTAGCATTTGTTGGCCTTTCACCTGCACTTGTGTCCAATCTCACAAAACCATCTGGATGGCCTCCACAGTTGGTGAATGTGGAGGCCTGGTCAACTTGCCCTTAACACAGGCTGAGTAGTGAATCTACAACTCATTGAATGTCAAAGCATCCAACCTTTGGTCTGTACTGTTTATGTCAGTCTGTTGTCTGTATTGACGTAGTTTCAGTGTTTACTCAAAGTGTGGTAACGCGTAAATCTCTGGTTCGCGGGGCTCCATCTGGAGTGGTATGCCAAAATGATATAAAAATAAAGTTTATATATTTCCATATTTTATATTATATATATATATATATATCATATTATATATATTGGCTGTCAACGTATTATTTTTTTGTAGTTGATTATCGCATAGTAAAGTGAAGTTTAACTCCACGATTAATCGCATTTTTAAATTCTATTCAAATCCACTCAATTGTAAGTTAAATGAGGATTTTCACATTGTAAGACTCATTTTTATTCATACCAAAAATTATACTTAACGAGTAACTAAACACCAATCAACTTTTTTTACTCTATACACTGCCTAAATATGTCTTCCTATAGTGCTCCCTATCATTGTCTGGCATATATATGACATTTAAAACAAATAAGTTAAAATCTCACCTTTTGAGCGAAACCGTCTGTGTGGCGCCTCACTATTGGTTTTCCGTGTCCAATACATGCTTGAATTTTGTTCCTGGACTCTCCATGGCTCTTGAGTTCCCTGTTTTCTGTGCGCAGGTCTTCCCGAGCCTCTGCTAATAAGTCTGTTTGACATGCTCACAACCTTTCTTCTTTTGGGTACAACCAACAAGAGTTGACACGTCAATGGCAGTTAATGCGTTAATTTATTTTTTTAGCGTTAATGAAAACGGTTATTAACCGTGATAACGCGATTGATTTGGACAGCCTAATATTTATACATATATTATACTTATTATATATATATATATATTATTTTTTTTACTTTATTTAACAGGAAAGTCCCATTGAGCATACGGACCTCTTTTTCATGGGAGTCTAAATAAATGTCCACATATCATTACAGATTTACTGACTGTTGTCAAAGCAAGTGCATCATGTTGTGTAGCCTTGCTGTCTGTTACAGCTAAATCGGTGGTTGCAGGAATGTCTCCAGTTCATCTCCTGGTTTTGGGAGACCGGAATTTGGTTCAGTTGGGAGGGGAAACAACTTGAACTCTCATTTGTTTTCTTTAGGTCGTGAAATCAACTTAGTTGTAGAAGAACTCCCAAGCGGATGGCGTTACCGATCTCTTATACTTACTGTATGAGATAGGTCAAGGGCTGGGAGGGAGGTATCTGCTTGGTTGATGTGCTTAGCGAGGGAGGGTCACTGAGTACCAGGGGGTTTGTCCAAGAAAGCTAGTGGCTGCTGAGTTTTAATAGAGTCTGACCGCCAGAAAAATCGTTGGATCACTGGTAACGGGTTTAGGGCAACGTCTTTATGCTGGGGAACCTGGGTGTACCAAAGCCCAAAATGCGTCGCCGTTTGGCGTTGTCCTGAGCTCCCACTCCTTTCGGCCTGGTGATTCAAGTGATGGCTTTATGTCCTAGTATAACATCAACCATTACAAGCAAAAGATTACGGTTACGGTCTGAAAAAACATCTGATCAAAACTATTGTTCTGATGCCGAAGCGTTGGAAGAGGAACACAGTTGTGTCATGTCAACTTTTTGGAACTATTCAAGCCGTTTCAAGTTCAGTTACATCGTCAGTATGCGCAATCATTGCGGTAGGCGTTCTTACCTTCTTCTCATGCCTATCATTTAGCAGGGGCGTGTCCAGCATGCAGGTATAACATGGCCAGAGGAAGGATCCTCCACCCACCGTGCTAAGCCCCCGGACAGCCGGTGGAGAGCCTATGTCCCTGGGCCGAATAGCACTGCTAAGGTGCCCTGTAAGGTGGCATGGATGCCATGTCTTGTCGGCTCCTTTCAGGGAGGGGACCGCAGCGGATACAAAGAGCTAAATCTCAGTTCAGGGACGAAACTGTAAGCAGCCAAGTCCTGGCACAGAGGTATTAAACACTCTTCTTGTGGCTGCACCCCCGCAAAGCTCCTGGCCCGGACCCAAGTCGTCTCCAGCCACTCTGGACACTGCCGCGAGTGAACTAACTCCTGTGTTCACTGACATTTTCAACTCCTTCGGCAGTCCTGCCAAGTCCCGGCCTGCTTCAAAATCCTCCATCATTGCCCCCGTCCCGACGAAGCCAGGATCACAGGACTCAATGACTACAGACCTGTAGCACTACGTCTGTCGTCATGAAGTCATTTGAACGATGGTCCTCTCCATCTCATGTCCTCCCCTCCCCCTCCTGACCCCTGCAGTTCTCGACTACAGAGCCAACAGATCTGTAGACAACGCCATCAACTGGCCCTCAACA